CCCGCGGCCCAGCGCTGGCCTTGCTGTCCCCGCGATCGGCCTCGGCCCCGGGCGCTGGCATCGCCCGCCGCAGGCTCCGGGCTCCAGGGCAGGTCTGCTTAAGATTCCCCTGCTCTTCGCCGCGCACGTGCCCTCTGCCACAAGCCGCCTCCACGCATACATAGCCCAAGGGGCAGGATTTCATCGCAGGGCTCGCCAGGAGAGGAGGAAGTCCGGGCAGGAATGCCTCGCTCTCTCCCGAGCGCCGGTTCTCCTTACCCGGGTGCAGGGAAAGAAAGGTTCCTTAGGTCTGTGTGGGTGGCAGGATCTGGGAGTCAGTCAGTCGCTGGCACCCGACCCGCACCCGCTCACCCCCAACTGCTTCTAGAAACAGTCCATTCCTGTGGACACTTGGCCAGCCGCGCCCAAATGGTGCTTCCCCGGGGGAGAGAAGGGGAGGGAAGGGGAGAGGAGGAGAAGGGAGGGGTCATGATAGCTGGGTGTTACTACATTGGCCCTGCTTATCCCCGACCTTGGGTGGAGGTAGTTCCATTCCAAAATAAAATTCCCTGTTTTGTTTTTGCCAAAGGCCCTGTCAAGAGTCATCTGAAAACAAAGTCTCGTTCTGCTCTCCTGGCATTCGGACTGTAAACAGCTTGGCCTCATTCCACCTCGAAGGGAAGAATCCTTCAGTGCACACCTACAAGAATGGCTTTCCCACTTTTTCCTAGAAACTTCAGATTACATTTCCTACACCAATGACTTTTACACAAGCAGATTGGCGTTATTACTTTTGAGAAACTAGAATTCTAGAACGTCATCTAGTATGGACACCATAGTCAAGTTTTCCCAGTTGTCAAAAAGTCAGACTGATTTCCTAGAAAGGTGACCTAATAAAGGTTGGAATGTTGCCTCTATGAATCTGTGTAGAATATTGACAGAGCACAACCTGTTTTCCTATCGTAGCAGTACTTTCGCAAGTTGCTCAGTTTGTCTCATGTTTTGCCCCACCCCCAGCCCCAGCATGATTTAACTTACCTTTAGGTCTAGAATTTAAGCTGGAAGGTTCTTGAACCAGAGGTTCGATGCAATGGTAGGACTCCTTCATGCATTCCGTGGTGGTTCCCATGGGGGAGAATATGAAATCTTAAACACAATCTCAGTGGTCTCAAAACTAATACCACTGAAGTAAGGAGAAGTGTTCTCCATTTGTTTCCATTATAAACAAGAATGGAGAGTATTTCTCTTTAATGGTTAATAGGTAATATGTCAAACAAAGATTTTGAAAATTCTTTGGAGGACAGTGTTTAAATTCCTTCAATAAAAGACAGTACTTAAGACTAATGTGTAGATAAGGACTACATAAAGACTGTTTGACATGTCTGTAGAAACCAAAAAAAAAAAAAAGAGAGACATTTTGGAATGTTTATGAAATTTTACCCTGTAGAAAGCATTTTATTCCATTAGGCCAGATTACTCCTTTTCTTGATAATTTTTTCTGGATGGTTCTCTCTTCTTTTCTTTGGTGCTTCATTTGTCCAAAGGTCTTTGGATGTTTTTATTTTCCTGGAAAGACAAAAACAAAACCCTGCCCCGACCCTAATTGGTGAGGTTTCCCTTTTATCACCTTTCCTTATCATGAGGTTTCTTCTGTTCAAATCTAATCTTTATCAGTTTTGATGCTATCCATACCTTTTCTTCTCCCGTGGAAACAAAAGCAAACCCTCTTCCCCAATGTAACACATATCCTGGTTTCCATTCTGAGGTCAGCACATGTTTAAATACCAGCTAATTTAGTTCAGAAGTTTTTCCTGCTATCCAGTGTCCCCTCATAGCTGTTGTTCCTTTCTCGTTAGCATTTAAAATTTTAAAAATAATAAAACATTGTGTAATCTATCTCTGGGGATTATTATTATCCCTTTTTGTTTACTAGACTTTTTTTAAAAAGTGCAATTCGATCTTTTTATAACTGCTTGACCTGTAGGGTTATGTGATATTCCTGCAATATGTTTTATGTTGTAATAAGTAAAAAACTTTTGTTTTTCTAGAGACACATGCAGGAGCATTGCCAGTCTTAATTTGTATGTGTTCCCATGATGGCCATAACTTCTAATAGATGTATAATTACAGAATCAGCCTTTTCAGAACTCAAAGTAGTTTTCCACTGAAATCCTGAATATATAGCTATGGTATGGTGTACATATTTTAATTTTCCAAACTCCACAAAATGAAACACATACATTTGCCAAATTTCATTTCTTTGAGTACCCTTTGGGCTAATTCTTGCAGGAGAACAAGCAGGACATTTCCTTATCAGTTCCTTGGCTTGTTGCCAAGTGATTGAAAATTCCTTTTTCAAACCCTTGCTATTAACAGGACGTTTCTTATGAAATTCTAAGGCTTTCAGCACATTTCCATACTAATAGGAAACTCATCCATTTCATCATTACCTTGTGCAAGAGGGCCTGATAGAACCATATGGGGTCTGATATGTTATATCCATATATGTGTGGGATGGTTCCTATTCCTGACTATTTCCCATAATTGTATAAATAATGAAATTAATTCTGAATTATCATGAGTAAGTTCAGTGGTTTCAATATGTAAAACAACTCTTTCTGCATATTGAGAGTAACTATATAAAGAGGTTCTGAAAAATCTAATAGTACCATGAGAATACCGTATAATTCTTACTTTTGAACAGAATTATTAGGGCTTTGAGCCACTTTACTTAAATTTCCTGATTTATAACCTGCCTTATGTGCATCAGTATAGAATGTAGGGGTCCCAGATATTGGTGTTCCCCATACAATACGAGGAAAGACCCAACTGGTTCTTTTTATAAATTGAAGTCTCTTTCTTTTGGAATTTTTTTTCCGTTTTTCAAGACAGGGTTTCTCTGTATAGCTTTGGGCCTTTCCTGGAACTCACTTTGGAGACCAGGCTGGCCTTGAACTCACAGAGATCCACCTGCCTCTGCCTCCTGAGTGCTGGGAATATTTGTTTTAAATAGGATAAGCAATGAAAATTTTTGTCTGAATCTGTCAAATGTTAATGGACTAGACACTGTTAATGTAATTCTTGACTGTATATATTGTATATACTTATTGTATATACTTTTTCTTATATTAGTTATAACTTTTTAAACAAAAAAAGGGGAAATGTGGTTGATCTATTATGCATCCCAATAAACTTATCTGGGGATCAGAGAACAGAACAACCACTAGATAGAGGTTAGGCAGTGGTAGCACATGCCTTTAATCCTAGCATTCCGAGGCAGAGATCCATGCAGATCTCTGTGAGTTCAAGACCACACTGGAAACAGCCAGTCATGGTGACACACACCTTTAATCCCAGCACTTGAGATCTCGTGTCTTGTTTGGGAAAGACACAAGCCTTTAATCCCAGAAAGTGATAGTAGGAAGCAAAAAGGTATATAAGGCATGAGGACCAGGAACTAGAGGCCTTTAAGTTTTTAGGCTTTTAGCAGCAGTTCAGCTGAGATCCATTCAGATGAAGATTCAGAGGTTTCTAGTTTGCAGAAACAGGGTCAGCTGAGAAGTTGACAAGGTGAGGTTAGCTATGGCTTGTTCTGCTTCTCTGATCTTTCAGCACTCACCCGAATATCTGGCCCCGAGTTTATTATTATTATTATTGCTAATAATAATAATAATAATAATAATAAAACCTTTTGAAATTCGAGTTATAGTTGGGAAAGTTTTCTCTAAAGGACTAGATAGTAAATGTTTTAGGCTTTGTTTCTGCTATGGTTTGGATCTGCAATGTATGGTTAAAGGCTTGCTCCCCAGCCTGTATCAATAGTGATCTTTTTATCCAAGTCATGATGTGAATGATTTTTCTCTTCCCCAATGCAATGTGATGTACGACTGCCTTGACACGGGCAGCAAAGCAATGGGACCAGTTGACCATATATGGAGAATCTCAAAACTGGGAGCTAATGTAAGCCTGTATCTTTAAACATTGACGCATCTCAGAAATTTGTCCTGTAGTAGGTTGTAATTCCCTCAACTGGAGAATCAGCTGAGCTGAAGGTCACAGGTAGCCTCACCCACACATCTATGGGCAGTGTGAAGCCTCTCATCCTCCAGTGGGTTAAGTTGCTGTAGGGAGCCGCTATTCAAAGATGGCGCTGGCTTCCTGGTAGCCTAGCTGTAAACAACTCCATATTTGGCTATGATGCACGAGTATGGTAATTGTCCTTATGTCCTCAGCCTATCCCGTGGCTCCCCGTGCTAGCATTCTGGCGGGACCCAATCACAGTACGGCACGTTTGCCTGATTCCCTATATAAGCAGCTGCAGTTTAGTCCTCGGGGCCCCTCACCTCCTGCTCTCCCTTGATCAAGAGGCGCTCCAATAAAGTGTGTTCTGAGACGGATCCTCGCATGGTGGTCGTTCTTCCTCGCTGGCCCAGGAGCGCGCCGCAAGTTGCCTAGCTAGGGGGCACATCCAGGAGGGTACAGGCAGAAGCAGTTGAATGTCTTACACCATAGGCACGGGAGTCACACAAGGTCATATAGACAACATTTTACATATCAAAGCAAGTTATGAGATCTCTCTGCACACCGGAGACAGAAACAGATCCTGCCTCTCAGTAGGCAGAGTTACAATATTATGGCCACAAGACAACCAAGGGGGAGATTTCTACCATATGTTCAACCAAGGGACTTTTTAAGAGGTGATGATGACTTCAGTATCAGCTTTGCCAGATTTAAAGAACTTCAAACTGTGACATGAATCTCCACATTTTAATTCTACTGCTACCTATTGTTCTTAGGCCCCTTCCCCATGCTGACCTTGCCTGTCATAATTCTGAGCACCTGTTCACTTTTCGGAGAACTTGCTTACAGTTGTCTATCATGAGCTATCATAGGAAAGAGACCAGGAGCTATCATTCTGCCACAACCTGGAACATATTTCATAGATACGTATGGATTTCACTAAGCCTCAATGAAGTTTAAAGATGGGTTATTTGCTTAGTTCCCAGAGGCAAAACAAATGAACAATCCACCATTGCCTACAGATTCCAGAAGAAAAGCATGCACCGAGAGGTCACCTTTTATGCCCAAATATTATTGCATCAGTCAGATGGTTAAATATACCAGCAGTTTTCCACACACATGATCGAGACTTTAGTAGCCATGTGCTTATTTGTAGGTTTGAACTAGCATTTGCCCTTATAAGAAAAGATTATACTTTAAGCTTAGGTTTATCTGTAGATGAAAATCAAAATGTAACAGAAAATTTGAATCTATGTAGTACATGTTCCATACCAGGATGGGTCCTGGAGATGATTTCTAATCTACAGTGAATGCTGCGGCTAATTGTCTAGTTGAATTATTCAACAAGTGTTTTTCCAAAATCTTATTGTACCCCTGTCTTGCTGCTTCACTTGATGGAACACTTGGACAATTTATTGTTCTTAGAAGCAGCCGCGATGTACTACTAATTGATGATCTGCTGTCTTATATTTCTTCCTTGACTACCTACATCTTTCATTCTCAGGAGCATTTTCCTCCAGCGCCTCCCGTCTGGCTGAACTGATGGATAGTGCTGTTCCACACAAGTACAGACAGTGTCTTTAGTCTCTCCTCTAGCTCCTTCTTACATATGACAAAATACATGCAGGAGTGATACAAGCACAAACCTGACACTGATCCATTATCAAAATGTATTCACATGTAATCAGTCGATTATTAATGAGTCAACCTGATTTGATAGATATTATATCCTTGCTGTTTGGTAGATGAAGACATTTGCCATCATTACTGAGGTATCTCCTGGCAAGACCCCAATGCCCATGTGTCAGTAAAGGACATGGAGATAAACCGCTCTGGAGATGCTTTTAGGGAACAGCATCTGCTTTATTGCACATGAACAACCCCTTATACAGTGGGA